GGGACACCAGCCCAATGGCCGGGGGGGCCCTGTGCTCGGTGCCGCACCGGGCCCCGCCATCCAGCTGGGAGGAAGCCCGCGAGCCTGGAGAGGTCTCCGAGGACCCGTGGGAGACCTGCGCGAGGGGGACGCGTCCCAGCCCTGGTGGCACGTCACCTCCCTGGCTCCCCTCTGAGCAGACGGAGCAGGTAGCACCGAACGAGGCACCGGGGCCGCATCTGCAGCCGCAAGAGGAAGCGGAGAGCAGCAGCACGGCGGGCGCAGGGCTGGCACCCCCGGGACGGAGCACCAGGGGACGGCCGGCAGGTACGAGGCAGGTCCAGCACCCGCTTCTGGAAAGGAGCAAAGGGAGTTCCAGTTCAGGCTAAACGGAAACGGGGAGCGATTCCAGGAATCGGTTTCAGGAGAGGCCAAAGAGCAGGACCACGAAGCCGGTGTAATCGCGGCCGAGCAACCACACCCGGGCACGTGGCAGGGAGGCGCATTTGCCCGGGGCGAGCCGCACAGCACCATCCAGCCCAGGAGGCTGCCATCGCACCTCCCTTTTGCTTCTGGCCAGGCATCTCTTCCCTTGGGAGTTTTTGGGTCCTCCCAGCCCCGCTGGGCCAGCGCAGCCGCCCGCTTGCTCGCCTCCTTGGCCCCGGCAATCGTTACCCTGCAGGATTTCAGCTCGTGGGTGAGCCCCGGCGGCAGCGGCACGGGACCCAGGGGGGGCACGACCAACCCCTCGGCGTTAAAGGCCACGTTGGACGCAAAAGGGGGGTTCGAGCAGGGCAGAGCGTGGCCAAGCTGGCTCGGCCCACGGACACCGGGGTGGACACAGCCCCCTTTTGTAATTAGCTGTATGCTCACTGTATCATATTGAGTGTCGGCGCAGACGGACGGGACGGCAGCACAGGCTCCCACGGAGGATGCGAGTACCCTGCAGGGGGAGGCTCTCGGTGCTGGTTTAAATAAAGCCTGTACTCCAGCCCTGGTCTGGCACCTCCTTGCACAGGGCACGCCAGGCAACGCGCCC